ACTGACAAGACTGTTAAGAATGCAGAGCGTAGTGTGCTCAGCTGGCTACCTGACTATATTGAAGGGATGCTTACAAGTATTGCAGTTTTGAGTTTACAGCCCATTATTTTGTCATGTGTTAAATATAAAAGAATACAGAATAACTTTGTTTTGGGGGCAACAGAGAATACTTTCATTGTTTAAAATACCATCTGATTGAATTAGCAGTAACTTATGGTGATTGCTGTTTTCTGAGCTGATTCTTAATTACAAAGATATTAATTTTTTTATTACAAAGGCACATTTTTTAATCACTGTTAAATGCTGCACTTCATGAATCATGAGTGTTTAGATAAAAATGTTTTAACTAGCGCGTCAGAAGTGTGTAATTTAGCTTGTTTTCTGTGATACCTTTTATATAAACCAAACTCTTACACTCATGGAGTAGCACATCTTTCATGAGTACATGCAAAATTTTACTATACTCCAGCCAACCTGAGTTTTTAAGATTTCTTTAAGGATTTCTCTTAAATGTAAAGAAAGATTCTTTACATTTACACATGGAGAATCTGAAGACTGAGGTCTTAGTTTTGTTATATCGTTGGCTCAATTATCAGAACAGTTCCATCTAGATCAGTGGGGAAGTCAACTCTGGGAAAGGGATTCACAGTTTAATCCTCAAAAGTCACCTGCTTTATCCCAATCAAAAATTTGTAGACAAAGCTTTTGACCTGGGCAGTTTGAAAATGCTTCACATGTTGCATTTTCTGCTTTTCTAGTCTTTCAGTAAAGCTTATTGTGGTTGAAATATGCTGGAGATCGAGCTGATTCCATGCTTGGGATTGTCGGGACACCTTATCCAAAGAGCTGGAGTCGCATCAAGCATTTTGCACTTTTACAGACGAAGCTATCTCTGAAGCTTTTCTCAGTGCTTTATTTAGCTATGGGATTTCCACTGAAACTTAATCATATATAAGGGGATTCTCAAGATAATTTAAGACTATATTGATGTTCAATTCGAAGAACTCAAAATGCTTCTCAGCTGTGTTGAGGGGAAAGTTGCCATTGGCTTCAGTGGGAAACTTTGAGAACTGTACTGAAAACATCACGGGAAACCCAACGAAGTTTTGTGCTCTCTTTTTTAAGATGTCAAAGTGGGTTTGGAAGTTTGAAAATCCTTCTCTCTGGAAAGAGAGAAAAAACGTATTCATGACTTTTTTTTTTTTTTAACAAGGGGGAAGCAGATAAGGAGCAGAGTGGTTAATGAATGGTACTAGGTAAGACCAGCACAAGTATAGTACGTCTGAAAGTGCTTGATGCTGGGGGAATAATTATTTAATATTTAGGACTATGCAAACAAAACAAATCACTTTTGGCCTTTCCTTGAAATCATCTGACTGATTTGCATTGATGTCACAACAGCATACTTCAAAGGTTGATGCCTGAAAAAATCCCAAGGACACATACCTTGTGACTACTACGTATTGCTGGGGGCCATTTCAATTGTTCCCATTGTGATGTGGGGAGTCTTCTACTGAGTTTCTTTTTTAACTGTTGATCTCCAAAGACTGTTGTTTGCATCTGTTTATTAAATTGCAAACTCAGCTGTGAAAATGGTTTTTATGGTGTTGTTTTATTACGATCCTGCTTAGAATTGGAGCAGAGCACAAACATGATAAATATTTTTCTTTGTGGAGGCACACATTGTTGGAGGGCCATTGAAATAACATGAAACTGGAATTGTTTGTTTACAGGATCAGATTCATTCATTACTTTGGTGAGGAGCTGTGAAATGTAAATCTCACATTCCACTGGACAATAACAGCACCAGCTTGAACTCATTTAGAGGTGTGATATTCCATTCAAAAGACGGCTGTTAATTTTATTGACCAAATTTTGCAATTGGGGTAGCATTGATATTCAGGAATGCTCCTGAACTGCTTTGCTTCTATAGCCATTTTGATAAGCTTTAGGAAGGAGAAGGGGTGCAAATTCTATTTAAGAATAATTCTATTTTGGAAAAAAAAAAAGGAAAAAGGGTAGTTATATTGTTATTTTCTGTTAGCATTACTTCACATTTTCCCATCTTTCTCATAAATTGTGAGAGTATGTGCAGGGAAATAACTGGGTATAAACACATTCTTTAGACCCACTGATCATGTTCTTATTTTATTTTTCAGTTGTGCATCTTTTAAGCTAGTGCATTCTAATTGTTTTATCAAAGTTTGGATGACTTAGAGCTGGGATTTGGTAGTGGTGTCTGGACTTTGTAAATTAACAGTTTAAAGCATCTGAATATTTAAGAAAGATTTTTAATTTGGTGACTGAAAGCTCAAGTGTACTTCTGCTTTAAGGAATACTAAGAAATTAAGTAAATTATGCAGGCAAGAACATTTAAAGCCTAACCTGGTTTATAAAATGCATGAGTAAGATTAACAGCAACCAAAAACTAGAGACTGACCTTATTAAAAATTGTTACAGATTTCAGCTCAGTGAGAGTAAAGGCTCAACATGAAACATTATGAGGGTACTGAATATTTAGCAAGTGGCTGTTCAACACTTTTATAAAATGCCCAGGATTATGTTGTTGTTTTTTAATTTGGCACCCCCAAAAAATGGTGTCCCAAGTTTCACGTTAGACAGTAACAAGGGCTTTTGTGTTGCTTGCATTATATGTTGCCATTTCAAAGTATTTTACTTCATGAAGAGAGAAAATCAGCATTGTTTTATCCCCAGACCTGCTGTCAGATCTTGGATTCATTTTGTAAACACCGAATTTTCTTTCCTCTGTTTTGTTACTATGTGTGATACGCTGCTGTTTTGATGTGATATTAATACAAGCAAAGAAAAATCAAAGAAAAGCTATCAAATGCTACTGCCCAAGTAGCCAAACAGCCTGAGCTCGTCAAGGAATTTGACACAGGGCTGGCCTTGATGTATTCCAGATAATGTCTTAAAGAGAAACATTAATAAGCTGGATACTTTACTATTTGAAGGGAATGACTTCAACTGGATCTACCTTGTATGTGGATCCTTATAGTTAACTCTATTGTTTTTTGAGGAAGAAATAATATTTGCTCAGGTATTTTCGGGGAAAAAACTACATGTTTTTTTGTTACCGAACTGTGTCATAAAAATATCAGTGATGTCACAAAAGCTCTGTCACGAGGACATTTTATTGTGGATGAATTGTAAGAACCATCTGGATACTATTCTAATGATTCACAGGCCTCTGCGTGGATGGTACAGATGCTTCTTTTGTTGTTGGTGTGATCTTGTAAATAGTTAAAATATTTACCAAGGCACCTCTGAGCTGAAGCTATACCATTTTATTATTTATACCTTTTCAGAGGGACAAAAATGGAGGTGTCCACTAAATGTGATGGATTAGGCTTATAAACAGCCATTATTGCCATCAAACCTCACATGTCAGCTCCCCCTTTTGTGTCTGTGCATTTCTAAGCTAACCAGTGATCCATGCATAAGATAGAAGGTTAAGAATGTGCAGAGAGAAAGGGGGTTGACTCCAAGCAAGATGTATCTTCTGCTGATTAGAAATACAGCTGTAGAAAGGGGAGAGAAAAGAGTTTTTGCAACATGACACTCCCCTTTTTCATTTCACACAACTCACTGTTTAGAACCTGCAAATCACTAGCTAGCAGAGTCACTTTGCTGTTTCATGTAACTTAGTGCAGCTGCCTTTTGTTTTCCCAAGATAAAAATCAGGAAATGCAAAAAAATTAAACAGGACCAGGGAAGAGGAATAGCAGAGGGAATGAGAGGAAAAAGGTTGAGCAAGTGACTTCACAACTTGTTGACAGAGCAAAGTGCCTTTTCGTTATAATTAAGTACGCTTTAAAAGCTAGACAGTAGGGAAAGCTAACAGCTTTTTCAGTATAATCCTTGTCAGTACCTTAAACTGGAAGTTATTCTTCCTCCTAATATCTGTGCAAAGACAATTTTTGTTCTAAAAGTAATGAAATATCTTTTTAAAAATATTGCCCTTCTCAGTGAGAATGTTGAGCTCCTCATAGAAGCTTTTCCACTTTGTCGCTTGATATTTTCTCCCCTTTTGAAAAAACAAATGCAGTTAAAAGCCTTACAAATATGAATCCCTTTAAACTTCAAATAAATGTTGAAGACAAATTGTTTCTCGATTTTTAGTGTGACGCTGAAAAGTAATGTGCTACAGCCCAATTGTTTGTGTTTTATTTCATGTTATTGTTTCAACTAAGAACAAAATGAACTTGTTTAAGATTAATATGGCAGTGTGTGACTGCTGAAAAAGGAAGGCTGATTAAAAAACCACTTTTGATGTTTCACAGAATTTACCTAAGTGGAATGGTGATTTATTTAGGATTGTTTTTATATTACTGCATAGCTAATTTCTTTTTTGTCTTAACCAGAAACTGATTGTTGCAAAGGATTAGACTAACTTTACGCACAACTGAAAACCATCGACTTGCATGCTCATGGGCTGCAGGGGAGGGAAAAAAAAAAAGCCTAGAAAACGTTTGTCTTTTTTCTAATACCTTGTTTGAGAACTTCAAAGTCAACACCACTGTTAGAGCAGCTAAAAACTTGAACTATGAGTTAACCAAACTATCATTTAGAAGTAAGTGGTGAAGTTATGCTTTAATCATAAAATCACATGGACTGGTATTTTCCGACACTAAATCGTGGGTTTGCTTTAATTTCTAAAATGCTAACAATGGCCAGTCTAGTAATCGGATGCATTAGTATGCTGGTGCACTGACCATCCCGTCTCTATAAGTACTGTGATCTGAATTGCACAACCAGTGTGGCAAAGGTCCAGATTCAGTTGCCACTCCCACTGGGAAAGCAAAAAACAGACCTCTGTGAAATTTATGTCTGCAGTTGGTTCAGTGTATACACTGAAAAAATCTCATCAAGAGAATGGTATTCAGGCTCATTTTGATCAAATGTCATCTGTATCAGCAGCATTAAGAATGCTTTAAAAAAGAAAAAAAGGGGAAAGAAAAGATTTTTCTAAAACTTACCTTCACTTTGGTGTAGATGTAAAAAGGCAGATACTTTTGCATGAAATAATCCAGGTCTACTTTCCAGTATTGCTGTTACCTAGCAAGGCAAAAAAAAAAAAAAAAAAAAAAAAAAAAAAAAAAAACACTCTTCCACAAGAGAAAAATAACAGTAAAATGACAAATGCCCAATAAACTCACATCTAAAGTAGAGGAATAATTCCCATCCGTGACCTTGCAGCTCATGCCAAATTCTGTGTACTTTAACAGTTTGAAATTAGCACTTGGAAACCTGAAATGAAATTTCTCAGAGCAGTGAATGTGAGGAGAAATTCACGTCCCAGTTACTCTTAATTCATATTCTTATTTTTCTGGGAGTTCCTTCATAGCCTGACAGTCAAACAGACAAGGAAGGCAATTCCTTTCATTCAGATTTAGGATGCAGTCAAATTGCAAGAATCACAAGTATGTTATTTAATACTGTATTACTAGTAAAGCTTTAACTTTCCTCTGAACTCATTCCTGTTCTGCAAAACATTGAAAGATGCTCTTGAATACCCTTCAGAAGGCCTCAGTCTTGTGACAGAATACTTGCAGTAGCTCCGTGTGGATTCACTCCTGCTCAAATGAGTGGTGGGATGTGGAAATTCTTTCTGCACTTACTGAAGGGTTAATGGATTTTTTTTTTTTAATCCTTTTTTGTTTCAAAGAATTGAGAGAGATGTTTCAGTTCCTTGTGTGATAAGTATTTTTATTAACATCTCCTGAGGTCCAGACTGTTCAGTTTCAAGTAGAAAGCAAAGTACAAAGCAAAAATGTAGGCATGTGCATTGTTGTAGTATTTTCATATTTGATCGTGCTTTGCAAATAGTTTTTTTGTCAGGTGAGAGGCACACATCACTGCTCTGATTTGTAGCTCAACTCTTTGCTTGGAAAAAGTTAAAACATCCTTCACCATTGTCTTTTTACAGCCTACAGAGCAAATGTTGGGTTATTCAGTTCTTAGACCTCCGGTTAGCTGGGCAGAATCTGGAATTCTTGTTGGTTATGATTCAGTGATCATACAGGCCGAGTGTATGTTTATCTGAAAAGAGAATTTTCTTGTATTTCTCAGCCCTGATGCTGCTACTGTTGCATTGCAAATGTATCAAGGGGAAGAGGAAAGGGGCTTTTTGAAAAAGAAGCCCAGATTGCACTTTCCTGTAAGCTTGTAGGTACCGGTGACTAATATCTCATGCAGACAAAAGCTAGTTAAAACTGACTTGAGATAAGCATTCTTCTGCAGTGACTCATCTTCCCTAACAATAATGGAAATGTAGCCCCTGTTTATGAGATAGCTGAAGTGCAAATAGTAGTGTCCATGAAGCTGAGGTTAATTACAGGAAGGACTTTCATGGTAATTGCTAATAAACAACACTTCTCCTCCTTTGAATCTGTATTATTCTCTGTGAGATTAAGCTGGCTTCAGCAATTTGAATAGAATTTTTGAACATTTGCTCAGGAGGTAGGCAGTCAGAGGCAGGAGTGAGTAGTAAAAGTCAGCCATAAAAGAGCAGGGAGCTGACCACAGCTGACATTTTCTCCCATATAAAATGTAGAATTCTGAGCGGGTTCTTGAATTCCCACAGATCATCACTATCTCAGCATGTAATGTGCTGTGACCAAAAAGAAGCAACCGCTTGCATGCATTCAGAGATTACAGCTGGAAAGTAGTCAGGCTGGCAGTGAGCATGTCAGCAAAGGGGCACAAAAATATTCTTTACAAGGGCTTCTGCTTCTCAGGAATTTCTAGAAAGCTGATTTCAGCTTTAAAGTGTGTTGCACGAGGGACTAAGATGCAAAATACATGTGCATTCTGAAGTGAGATCTTAACAATTAAGCTTGGAAGCATACTGCTAGTATGCAGCAAAGAAAGTGGCTATGGAATTATTTTCTAACTAATATGATTGTGATGCTCATTTCATGTAAGAACTTAAAATGAAACTCTCCCCCCTTGTGTATCAATACTTCCTAAATTCCTGCATATCTACTCTACTGTCTGCTGCTTTTGCAAGAAATGCCCCCAGAATCCCCCCAAAGGGAAGGTGCAGAAGGTGACAAGGTCTTAGTCTGTGCTCTTTACAATACCACATAAGTATCTTTATCTTATCTATATTTGTTAAATCAATTAAAAGAACATATGGAAGTTAATCCCTGGCTGACTTACTTTTGTAGTGGGACACAGAATGAGCACATGGGATTTCTTATCGGTGCAGAAAACACAAAGTAGCTTTTTTGTAAGTGTCAGCAGATCAGATTTGTGGCTGCGCGGAAAGCAAGTCTCTTTTCTCTTTGATAAAATTATTCAACATTTATTTTAGGTGATTAAGGGTTGAAATTCCTTTTTGCCACATGTACTGCAACAGTGAAACAAATAGTATGTAGCCTTTTTGGGGATGAAGCTTATTGGCAGAGCTGCTGGAACTGATTTGAGTGTTACAGTCAGCAAAACAATGTAGATTCAGTGGTCCCAAAATCTATCTGACAGTTCTTATTTCTAATCAGTCTGCGTGTAGCAGTATTTTATTCAATGTCTGAAAATTCAGATTACTTTTGTTCAGGGAGATTTAAATCTGCATCTTCTATCTCCAAGGGGTTCTCTTGAGCTGGAGATAAGGGAATCTGGGAATAGAAATGTAAGCCCCTCTTCTACTTCATCAAAATAAGCATTTTCTTGAGCAGGCACACAAATCTGCAAGAACAGGAGCTATTTACCAAACCAGATAATTGGGGCATTCTCAGGAAGTGGGAGATTTGAGCATGTCTTCTCCCAGGGAGAAGGGGGAAAAATGTGAAGAAAGATAATGGCTCTTCACATCACTGTCAATGTAGTTTGACATGTCCCTGGATTTCCTTAGAAGTATCTTAAAACGTTTTGCTTGGTCTCAAACAATATATCATTTGTACCAATATCTCAGGTTGAGTTTACTACATCCTCTGGACGTTTTTTGTAGTCTGCCTGTTTGTGGTGATGATCAAGTAATAAGAAGGAAGTTTTAAGAAAGTATCAGGCTATTCAGGGCACCTCTGTCAGTAGGTAATGGGGTCAGTGAGCTTGAAGTCTAGCTTATTCCTAAAATACATTTGTGGACAAAAGTTTAATATGTAAATGTGTGTATGATGGGTTGTGGTAATTGATGGTGAAAGCCAGGGCTGTGTTTGCAACCAAGCAGACACAGTGAAGTATTATGGAGTATTAAGTGGATGATGTTTGTTGCCCTCCTAAGGAGTTCAGGATGCCTATAGAGGTGCTCACCAAGGAGAGCAGACATTGAATGGGAGGCAGATAGAGAGAAGGCATCCTTCCTGCCCTTGCCTTGCCTGCCCTTCCCAGGCCTGTTCTGTGGGCAGCCCTTGTCATGAGACTTGCAGTTCCCAGCACGTCCATGCAGGGCTGCACTCTTATCAGGGTGTGGAGTTTAATTACTCCTCTAATTATAATTTACTTTCCGTTGGTCTTTTTATTTTCAAATGTTCATTTCTTTAAAATTGTTTGGACAAGCAGCTGTAGACACATCTGTGAACTTAGTGAAGGTATCACTCACACTGCACAGTAAGAATATACTGTACCCTTGATTACATCAGATTTTGTTGTTTAGGAATGATCTAAGCAATAAATTTAGTTGTTTAGGAGTGACCATAGATTTGGCCAGTAATATGTGAAATTTTGGCTTCCCATATTTCAAGATATTCTGCCTAAATACACAGTTGTGCAGAACTGCAGGGTTTCATAAAAAGCAAAGAAACAAGGTCATGAATAATGTGCAAATACTTGTTTTTACTGTAGCCTCCTTATTGGTGCTGCATTTCTAATATGTTCTTAGCTTTTTAAAATGAAAACTAGATTTTCATTACATTTGTCTTAAATTGATATTCTTATAAACTAATTTCTCCTCCAATAGAAATAACATGGACTGCATAGAATTCTGGAAAGTCATCCATCTTTCTACAGAGATTTGTCTTACTGAAGTCTGATAGGGAAGCAGATGCTCACAGATTGTCTTGTATCTTTGTGATGTCCAGGTCCTGTGCAGGAAGTGTCAATGGAGTTTGATTTCCTGAAATAGGTATATAATCATCTTGTTAACAGGATTTATTTGAGAAAAACAGAGAGTGGGCAGAAGAGAAGTCTAATTAATAGTGACCTGGGGGGAGAAGCTTCAATTTGCCTTAGCCGCCACCACGTACCAGCCTTGATTCTCACAGCTAAGCTGGAACTCCAGGAGGCGGAGAAGGTGGTACATAAGAATGACACAACTAAAAGCTTTCAGAAGTTTTTTTTTGTTTTTTTTTTTTTTTGCTTCTAAATTGCATTTGAAAAACCGGACTTTCTCAAATCTAAAATCTGGACAGAATCTGAATGTAAAATTTCACACATTTTTACAGTGTAAATACAGAATTGTTCACTCCGATTATACAAACCCCTGTTTGTAGTCTCTTTTCAGTTGAATAAATTATTTGGCACTTGAATAAAGCAGTGGCAGAGCCAAAATTAATTTCTTTTTCAACAGAAAACTTGTTGCTAAAAACTAGAATATCACGTTTTGGAATAGGTTGCCTGGAGAAGCAGCGGATGCCCATCCCTGGAGGCATTCAAGGCCGGGTTGGATGAGATCCTATGCAGCCTGAGCTAGTGGTTGGCAACCCTGCCGTAGCAGGGGACTTGGAGATAACAACAGTTCCCTCCAACCTAAGCCAGTCTATGATTCTATGGTTGGACTGTCAAATAAACAGATTGAGGAACTGCTATTCCGGAGAATTTTCTAGGTTACCCTGAGCCTAAAGTCTATATTTTGCTGTATGTATGATCTCAAATAATTGTAAATGGTGATGCAGAATGGACAGGAAAATATGGCAATAAATCAAAATACATGGAAAAGACGTGGGAATACCCTGATCCCACCAGTTCCATAGTTAAATTGGGGAAGCTAGAACAAAATACCTTTTATTCCAGAGATATCAATTTTACTCTGTAAAAAAGTGGTTTTATTGAAATTATTATTTTTATGAAATCTTTTATCCATTGTACATTTCAATTAAAAGGCATTCTAATGTCAGAGAAAATTACTGACCATCCTTTGGGAACCTTTCTAAACTTTAAGATGACTGAGAGCTGGATAAATTACCAACGCTTTAGTTTCCCTTTCTGGCATTGCATTCTCATGGTCTTCAAGCCAACAGAGTATCTGTTTGTTCAGACAGTGCCTGAAGTTAGGAGATGTTCCTAGTTCTATGTGTGAATTACAAACAACAAAAAGATGAAACTACTGTTTAGTTTCACATGCTCAAAAAAAAGTTTTTAGGACAACAGAATTGGAGGTGGAATGGGAATTTCCTGAATTTCAGTCCTGAGTTTCGTTGCTTTGGCTGATAGCCCTAA